GTTTGGGTAGTTAGGTAGGTGGTTGGGTGTTTGTGTAGATGATATAGATTATGTACATTTCCATTTTGCTAGCTTAGTAACAGTGTTACAAAACTCGAACTTTCAAACTGGTTTGGCGCAAGGTTAGTTTATTGATCCCATTGAGCCATACATTACATAGTTAATCAGTTTAACAATGCCATTGGGGTATGTCTAAGTCAAAGCCTGATGTTATTATAAAACTTCTCTCTTTATTTCTTTATAAAAAGGTTATGGAAGGTTTTTGAACGTCTTTTACTGAAAATGTTTACCGGACGAATGCAAAATGATATCAACAACCATAGGTCATCTCTTATATAGGCTACATGCTGTCCATTATGCTTTTCAGTACATGCTTTGGTTGGTGTTAGGATTGTTTCATATAAGTATTCGAATAGTTCGTAGCTTCCCTTTTGTTTACATGTTTTCATTACCCTTCATACTATAGTCTGTTTTAATTATATTGAAATTAAAGATTGTAAATAAATAGTACACACAATTCTGTAGAACAGGGGTCTCCAAACTTTTCAGTCCGAGGGCCGCATTGACTATCATATTTCAGATCAGGGCCAGTTTATTCCTGACATGTCGTGATTTTTCTGAGCAAAGTTCCTCAGCCATCACCAACAAATGTTTTTTTCCGTGGACAAAATGATCTCCGCGGGCCGGATGAGAGGACCTCGCTGGCCGCATCCGGCCCGCGGGCCGTAGTTTGGAGACCCCTGCTGTAGAATATGAACGATTGGGAGGGGAGTGACATATGATATAGCGCAGGAAATTTAGAGGTTAGGTAGGGTATAAATGGTGGGGTTAGGAAAGTTTGGGGGTCCATTCTCTAATAGTAGGGGTGTCAAACTGATTTTTTAAAACGGTCCCAGAGCTTTTTGGAAAGTTACTATGTCAAAAACTCATGATTCTAAGATTGTGGGCACTAAATTTGTTCATATATATCTATCTCAAATAGTAAAAAAGTTGTGACGTTTTAAAAAATTGGTTTTTAACTTTTTTTCCAACACCCTAAAAAGTGCCATGTTTGAGAGGTTATATCTGTAAAAGTATAATTCACAAAGAACATCTTTTGAACTCAACACAAACACATATACACAGAGAACAGACTCAATTTTTTTCAAACCTCAAAAACAAGTACATCATTTAAATGAATTGCATTAAAATTGGCTTTTCTCACTTTTTAAAAAAAATTAAAAGGGACGTAAAAAACACAAATTTTGTACATTTTTAAAACATCACCAAAAAATGTCGGATGAAAGAACATACTTGATAAGTATATCAAAATGTAGGGGAACAACGCTTCTTTGAAGTTAAGTTATATGTATGCCTATAACAAGTACGTTTGAAACACACGTTTGATCAGAAGAGTGCAGGGGTTCACAATCTGTCGAAAATGCGTCTTTTTAAAAAGTTACAAATTATGACACCTACAGTAGATCTGAGTACATAGAAATAAAGGATAATCATATCTCTTAACAGGTAAACAGTGTTTGTGTCTGTGAATAATTTATATGCGATCCAATGGTGGCTGGAACAGTGCTAGGGTCACATGAAATTGTTGTTGTTGAAATAATTATTAGGTACATAACAATAATTATTGAGGTGTGTAGCAGAGGCGCAGCGAAGGGGGGAGGGGCGGGGGCACATATGTCCTCGGGCGCCGACCCTACGGGCGCCAAAATGGGTTGGAAAAAAATCATAAGCAGCTCATTTTAGCTGCAGTTTTGCAATATAAATATTAAAAAAATATAGGGGGGGGGGCGCCAAATAGAAATTTGTCCCCGGGCGCCGGGAAGGGTCGCTACACCTCTGGTGTGTAGTGCTAACGGTCAGCACCAACACACAAAAGGGGGTTATGGAAACACTTGTAACGTAAAGTTGAGTAAAAGTAATATAATCAGAGTTTCTTCCAGGCATCTCTTTAGGGGTCATCCATGGAATTTATATAGAAGATATATACTTTTACCCACTGTTTCTTCCAGACTTTTTTCTCCGGAGGTGCACTTGAAATTTCGGGGGGGGGGGGGGGGGGGGGGGGGGTCGGTGGACAACAATTTCCGGGGGGGGGCGGACGCTGTCAAAAGTATATATTTTCTATATAAATTCCATTTCGTTCGGGGGGGGGGGGGCGGTAGACTTTCTTCGGTGGGGGGGGGGAGATGAGATGCCTGGAAGAAACTAGTCGTCCGCCCCCCCCCCCCCCCGGAAATTGATGTCCGCCACCCCCCGAAAATATCAAGTGCCCCCCCCCCCCCCCACCCCCGGAGAGAAAAAGTCTGGATGAAACACTGAATATAATGACGTCAAGTTGATTAGCCAACCAATTTACCCGAACCTATATATTATAGTCGCTACCAAATGACATTAAAAAGTTCGATCTATCGTATCTTCAATTCGAAAATATTTTTTTTATGGCTGCCTGCAATCTCTGACTCTATATGAAAGATAGAGTCCTTGCAAACACGTGACCTAAATCACGTGATACCTACGCCCGCCGCCACAGTGGTGTACATCAGACGTAAACACAATCAGCTGTTCGCCAGCGCTGGACGTGTTCACCAGAGCTGGACGTGTTCACCGCATGTAAAGAATCGCGACCGCGGAAAAGGAAAAATACGTTAAAAAACTTGAACTCTTAGGAATTGAAGATCCTTATACAGTTATTGACAGTTTCGTGGATAATATAAATATGTGGCCGAAATTTCTAAATAAAAATACTGTTAGTAATACCGTTTGCGTTTAGAGTTTAAGTAGACGAATCTGATCAAATGCAGTAATATATTAGAGGTTATCTACTGTAGCAAACGTGAGACCACTTAACTCCTACAAAACCCACACTACAACGGCTAATATAATCCATGGAATAACCAATCTGGGTAGCATGTTATACAATTTAAGACCCTTATAATCCAGCAGGGAAGTGATCAGACACATTAATACTGACGTTCAACCCTCACGATGGCTGCCCCCACCTGTATCTAGCCCACAATAAAACCAAAGAGGAGTCTGCCCTGCCCTCCCCTGAAAATGTCTCACCTCCGTGATACCCAGCCCCACAGAGATAGTATTTCTTATATAATTTTGACCCTCAGGGCCCAGCAGGGAGAACAAAAGGGAAAGTCCCACTGCTCTCCCCTCAACGCTTCTCACCTCGGTGTCATGTTATGTCATTTATAGCACACACGGCTTATCAGGGGAAAGCATTAAGGCATTAAGAATCTTAACTCTGGACAGCTACACACTAGTATACTAGCTACACACTAGGTGCCTACTGTAAACTACTAGACTGTAGGCCCTATGTAGACCTGCAATTGTATCAATTGTAGACTGGGTCCATTGTTATTATTCTAAACCATCTCACTTATAATGTTTCTAGCTTGATTTGTTTCTTTTATAAACAGTGGATTTAAAAAAAAAATTAGCCTAATCATTAACCAAATAATAATAATGTGGTTATTTGTTGTTGGCTGGTATGATCTAGATTGTACTACTAGGCTACAAAAACTTAGTAGACCAATTACTAGATATGAATTTGAATTTAATTAAACTCAGTCCAGTATCAGATACATATTGCTGTAAAAAGACAACAAAGTAGTTAGGCCTTAGTAATTTATTAAAGCCTTCTACTACAATAATATCAACTACATGCTTGTATAAAGTTTTTACAATTTAATTTAAGTAGCAGATTCTAGATCTAAGTCTAGTCATATAATCTATTTCAATTTCAGAAAATTTCGTTTGCTAAAAAAATGATTAGATAATACTAATAGAGCGAGATTTTAGATCTTAGAGACAATTAAATGCTTTATTAGGCCTATTATGACTACTTTTGATTTATTATGGGTGTATTTTGAATCGAATGTAGATCTAAAGTAATTAAATTTAAGTAAAGAAGTAGATTCTAGATTCTATGTCTACCCAGCGGAGCCAGGTATTAGGCCTACTATTAGATCTTATTATTCTTATTAGCCTATTACTTTTGACTTTGTCTTTTACTATATATTAGTATTTGTGAAGGTCGAGCATATTTGTTTTATTAATTATTAATAGTTATCTTTTATAATTAAAATGAAGTTTATTATTTTACTGTCCTTACCTGAAACAAAGTATCGAGAACTGCATTTGATCAGATTCGGCTACTTTAACTCTAAACTCTAAACGCAAACAGTATTACTAACAGTATTTTTATTTAGAAATTTTGTCCACATATTTATTTATACGAAACTGTCAATAACAGTATAAGGATCTTCAATTCCTAAGAGTTCAAGTTTTTTAACGTATTTTTCCTTTTCCGCGGGTGCGGTTCTTTACATACAGTGAACGCGTCCAGCGTTGGTGAACATGTCCAGCGCTGGCGAACAGCTGATTGTGTTTACGTCTGATGTACACCACTGTGGCGGCGGGCGTAGGTATCACGAACGGACGTGACGTCATATGAAAGGACTCTATAGTGGGTAACAAAGCCTTTAAAATCGAGGGGCTTGCGCGATCATTCGTTCAATTAAGAACAATATTAGGTAATCTTAGCACATTCACACAACCACGGTAAATTTATACGCCGTAGACTTACGGACATCTTGCAAACTCCCAATTATTATTTAGGCAGTACTAGCTGTTACCGAAAATATCAAATCCCTATATAACATTATCAGTTAATAATATAGCAATGTACACAATACATGTTAATGAATCAGTGATTTTGCAACTTGTTTTGAGATGTCTACTAAATTTTTGTGGACGTGCATATTGGAGGGGGGGGGGGTTCGTCGAAAGTGGGCGCGTGTGGACGGGGGTGGGAGGGGAAGGGAGGGAGGGGGTTGAAAAATTACAAATTTTTGTGGATGCCATAAATGGATGACCCCTAAATAGATGATCCCTATGCCTAGTAAAAGAAAAATCTGCTTGAGATAGATTATAATGAGTTTTATTAAAAGTTGGACTGGTCACGTGACTAGATGCCATCTTGTATTTATAGTACACTTACTTCCTGTGTTTACGAATCTCAGTATTACTGAAACTCAATTGGATTATTAGCAGATCTACAAAGACTGGAATAAGCAAGAGCAAAGGGCTATTCATTTTTATAAAATAAGTCGTCTACATTATCTCAGCCTTCATGACTAATGGTGCACTCGCTTTTACTTTGCACGAGGTCACTCCCACATCCAGATAGATCTAGATCTAGGTTAGTTATTAACTTATATTTTATTATTAATACTACGAAGTGAAGTGAGTACTGAGGGCTAGGATTAGGGATATGATAGGTTAGGGATAGGATAGGTTTGGTAGGCCTAATCTATCGTTTTGGGTACGTAACATCGCCCGCGGCTAATAATGTACGAAAACGTTACCTCATTGTCTAGGCTTTAATAGAAGTATTAGGCCTATATTGTGATTTGTTTGTGTCAAATATTAGCCTATAAATTAGTCTGGCTCGTTGCTTGGATGGCAGGATTGACACTGTTCATCCGATCGTCATCAAACTTTGGGGAGTTGATTAGAACACTCCAGGTGAGGTTTCTGTAATTTTTAATAGGCCGATTCTAGTCGGAATAAGATACGCATGCGCAATGGAGAGAAACTACGACTTAGCGGCGATGTTTTCGATAGTACTGCTAGGGTTGTCGGTATCTGCCGAGATCGCGGTAAAAACATGACCCGAAATCTCCCATTACTTTCTGATACCGGGCGCACGAGATTTGGTTTTGCATACTAATAAGTTTTTAATTTATGGTAATTAATTAAGTTTAAAAGGTCATTTCCTAATGTTAAATGAAAAGTAGAATGGTTTTCCCATTGTTTTGATGGCTTAGCGATCTGATCGCACGCTGCCTCTGCTTTGGTCTTCCCCCTGTATGAAGGCTAGTTTCAAATACGTTGGAATCACGATTTTTTAAAAGGTTATTCTAGATGAGTGAAGATTACTGAGCAGACATATCTTATATATGTGGAAATGATATTTGTTTTTGCATATTTTGACGCTGACATTAGATATACTCGTTTAGAGATGGTCACTGTATGTAGGTCGCGTTGCCACCATTGTTATATTTTTTCATCCCGATCTTCCGGCCTTAAGTTTGATCAACTAACAACAGCATTCTTATGGAATGTGCAAACAAATCTCCTAATTTTTTATTTCAAAATATATTTACATACCCATCTTTAGTTTTTTCAGCTCTAGTTCTAGTTTTGCAGAATATGTTTTTCCTAAAATCCAATTTTGTCAGACTAGACCGACAAGAGTCAGACCTGGATCTAGGTTACCTGTCTGTTGCTAACACTAGCATTATGCTAACTGTAATTTTAAGTATTCAAGTTCTACTTACCCTTAGATATAGTTATATGCTGAAAATCAGAATCCATACACAATTCACACATAAAAACATTGATCTGATAACTTCATTTCACTTATTACAAAATGGCTTTTATATGGACTCTACTTCACCTGCCCAAAATAACAAGGCAGTTATAGACACACTACAGTGTTCAAGTCATTTACTTTAGATTTCTGACTATGGAGTTCTTTCATTCACTGTATTTATTAATGAGGCAATTATATGCACATAACAGTGTTCAAGTCATTTACTTTAGATTTCTAACTTTGTAGTTCTTTCATTTGCTGTATTTATATAAAATAGGGCTTTAGAAACATTTTCATATTTGCGCAGCACACAGTTTTTTGGGGTTATGGGAGGAAGCCAACACAAAAATATAACTTCTGTATTATTTTTATTCATTTCAATAGCATTTACAAGTTCTATATATCATTCTAGTTAAACTCTGCAAATATGAACAAAATACAACTGCAAGTAAAATAACTATGCTCAATTTATTCAGGTATACCATGACTTGTCACAATTGGCCAATGCAAAAGTAAGGGGATTCCACCCCTCACAAAAAAATTCGCTAAAAAAAAACTATTTGAGCTAGACAGAAAATCTTTTTTGTTTTGTTTTCATATAGTTGAGCTCTACAAGAATATGTAATTTTTATTTTTATATGATGATTAGTGTTTTTTTACCAAAATCCCTAGTACTGCGCATGCGTGTGTTTACAACCGCAGAACCCTAATACCAACCCTATCCCTAGCCCTAATCCTATCCCTAACCCTAGCCCTAATCCTATCCCTAACCCTATCCCTAATCCTACCCCTAACCCTCATTCTAGCCCTAACCCTAGCCATAGGTCACTGCGCATGCGCAGAACTATCTTTTGCCGAAAAATCTTATTCCGAGTAGACACTTCGTTTTTAATTTTGCAAGGTCGGTGCACCTGGAGGATGCACTTCTTCTCAATATATGATATATTAAAAAAATAAGTTCGACGCCGTTTATCTGAGTGCCATAAAATTTAAGGGAGTTGATGAATACTCCAGAGAAGGTTTCTGGGGGGTGGGGAATTAAATTTCGCACTGGCGGACCCCAGCAGGATGTGATTTGGCACCCTGGTCTTTTCCTTGAGTGCTATGGCCACTACGTTCGTTCTAAACAGTATAAGATAGGACGTTACAGTCGCTCAATTAATTGAATCAGAAGTGTCCGCTGGTAGAGTGGGATTTGGCTGCGAACAAAAATTTCTCTTTTGGCCCCCAACTGGGCTGCTGAGGGCCCTGTAATAAATTTTTTTTAAAAATCAGAAAAATTAACCAAGGCAGATTATTAACTGGGTTGTTTCCTTTTGTCTGTAAAAAAATCCAAACAGTTTTGTCAAATTGCGAATGATGCAATTAGCATCTATTTTTAGACGATCCAATCAGAAATTGAGATCAGAAATTAAGATTGAGCTTCTAATAATACCCCATTAGTAATGTTAACAAATTTTATCAGTCACACTGAAGTTTATAACACGTCAAATTTTTACTTTCTCGTATATACGAAGTATAGAGAAAGTCTTGTAATCATGCAAAAAAAAAAATCGAGATTTTTACAAATCTCGACGTTTTACAACTCACTGATACGGAAAAACATAATTTTGCAATCTTGTCTGTGTGTCTGTCTGTGTGTAAACACGATAACTTGAGTACCATTACAGCTAGGTTGATGAAATTTCATATATAAGTATTTTATCAAAATCGTAGATCCTGATAAACTTTTGAGCGATTTCCGATAACCAGAAGTGGTACTTTTTCTACTTTGAATTTTTCAAAATCCTATAACTTGAGTACTATTTCAGATACAAAAATGAAATATCACATGTAAGTAAAAGATCTAATTCTCTACCTTCTATCAAATTTTGAGTAATTTCCGTTGACCAGAAGTACTAATTTACGCTATTTCCAATTTCTCAAAAAATGCTTGTAAATTTATAAAGTACTAATAATATTGCGCACTATTATGCACATTTTTTGTTTTGGCGTTCGCTTGGTGCGCAGTTCTTTTATCTATGAGATTCTATTCTATTTTTAAAAGTTTAAGTAATTAAAAATCATGTCTATATTCCAAGTTATATAAGAATATTCGAGAAAGTTTAGGGGAGATCACTCCCGGTTTATTTTCTATGTGTTAAAGAAAAAATCCTGTTGATTTGTGTAACTTAAGTGAATGTCGCAATCCGCATCATTGTTTCAGGATGCTATGTGGCGCACTGGGTTATCCTGTGAGCACTATGGCGCCTATGTTAATTTTAAGGAGCCAGGGGCCTTACTTGTCGCCTCTGCGGTAGTGAAATTAGGTGCTCCCGAAAGCGCCCCTATACGTCACTGACACGTGGGCGGTCACCGAAGTGTGTTCTACCTCGTTATTTCTGTGAGTGATTAACGTACTCTCAAGGTTTTTATGAGGTAGTGAAGGTAAACCAGTGTCCCGATATTTATGATTAAAGCGCAGGCATTGTTTACATTTAAATAACTCAGTTTTAGAAAACAAAGTCAGGCGTCTAAGAATATAGGATTGGTGTTTTATATATATTTAACTCTGTTAAATTTTTTCATCCCTATAGTCTTTCCAAAAGCAAAAATTTTAAAAATTTTGTAAAGGGGATTAAGGCCATTTTTAGCGCAATTTCCATACGGACAGTTGCGATTATTAACTCGTCATTTCTGGATGGATGAATGAATGGATGGATGGATGTGTGTCCGCAGCTTTAAGTCGTATCTCCTCCTTAACGAAGCAATATCGAGGACTAGTTCCAAAAGCAAATATGTTAAGCAAGTTCCGACGATGATTGTGGGCCAAAAAAATTCCCGGAATTCCTTCCTGGATTTCCCGGAAAAGCAAAAAAACATAGAACAAATGCAGTTTTTGCTCCATATCTCGGCAACCAGACCACTTAGCGACTTGAAACATTTACCAATCGATTCCTGCCATAATTTAGACCAATATTGCTGAAGAAAGTTTTCAAAAATATCCTTTCGTTCGGTCACAAAAAATTAATTAAGAACATTTAAACTGAGCATCGTGTAGGCCTAGGATGATTTAAACTGAGCATCGTGTAGGAGTTTATATTTATAGGATGATATTTACAAAAAATTAAAAATTGTTATGGGTAACATAAGGAAATTGCGCTTAAATTGTCACTAGACTTTTTATTAACTTGTTTTAAAAGAATAGTTATAGAAATAAGCTATAAAAACTGGTTTATTTTGTAAACTTTGAAATAAATACTAACAAGTTTATTTTTTGGTGATATTTCTGTGTAATCATGTTGTTAAAATTGTGATTTTCGTGGATTTTTAGACCTCAATTCATTGAGATTTTAAAAAAAATTTCAGTTGAGTGAGTATTTAATCAACATTTTGAATGTGATGATGATGATGTAAATGTAAATATTTTGGAATTCCTTGATTGTTAAGCAACAAAATTTATGTATAATTTGTAAATATTTGTTACTTCAAAAATTGACCCTGAAAGTAGACATTTGAGAATTGGATCTGTTTCCTACCATATATCAAATATTTCGTAGATATCATACAGCAAAGTTGAACTATGTTTTCCTCATTAGTTAAAAACTGATTTTTAATTTGAATCCTGTGCTGTGTTGCTGAAATCCAGACGTTGATTAATATGTATAATATGTACTATAATGTCCTAAAATGAAAACGTCTATAGACTTTCAAGTGGGACCAAAATCAAAACATGACGCCCTGACCGCAGTCCGACTGAAATCCTCTGCTGTGCTTCGAATCGGCGTCCCTAAACAGATGATGCGTTACACAATTTATTATACACATATTGAGTTTACGTACTACAACAGAAATACAGATTAGATGTAGACGTATACAGCGCAGGGTTCATCGTGAAAATATATTAAATACTTTAGGAGATATTGTACAGCAAAGTTGAACTAAGTTTCCCTCGTTAGTGTTAAAGGCTGATTTTTTTATTTGAACCCTGCGCTGTATTGCTGAAATCTGGACGTTTATATTAAGTATGACTTTTTCTACAATACTATCAAATAAACCCATCCATACATTTTAAAACTAAACAAAATTAAAAATTAATGTATCGGTCGCTTACAGACTGCTTATTCTGCTGTGTCAATCTGCACACCATGTGACACACCATGTCTGGTCACATAATGTTAAGTGCTTTATTGGATGATAACGTAACAATTTTTAAAGATAGATACATGAGTCTCTGTGTTGGACTCAACAGCTAATGCCATTATATATAGATCTATAAGCACACAGGGATGTTTCCCAACTTAATCCTAACCCATTGAAACTGGAAAAATAAAAATAAAAAAATATACGGCATCAGGTTAATTGTTAAAATTAATCTTGTTTAAAATAAATCTGGATGGCTACTGTCCGATCAAACAATTTTGATGTGTTTAGTGCGACGTAATTTCTTTAAAGTTTGAATTTTTTTTCGCAAAAATGTCTTTCAAAATAAATTTGACTACAAATTTTTAAACGCTCTAACAACTTGGAGGCTACTAGCTTGCCGAATCAACCAAAACGGATGGGGAATGGGCACCCCACTGACCATCGAACATTATTGTATAACAACACCTAACGTAATACCCATAGCTTAAGTAAGCCTTACACAAACAGCAGAATTTTTTGATAAAAAAAACAATGATTAAAAACACTTAGTTTATAACATAAAGTCATCTAAGATACCTTTCTGTTTTCTTATCTAGTGGTATTTGTAGGAATAACTAATGAATGAATTAATTTCTGGCAATAAGTAAAAAGATCCTTCTTTAGACCTAGAGATTCATTGGTCAGATGATGTAGAGTTCAGGTTTCTTGACCTCAGCATAAGAAGGAATAATGCGGTTAGCACTATGCCCACCACCTACTTTAGCTAATATTAGTTAGGTACCCATCTGAGGGATATCAGGGACATTCCACAGACTTGAACCTGGATTAAAATCCTTTTGGGTTTGCAGTCTACCGCTAGGCCACTCTATCCCCACCATAATGTATGGGATAGAATTAATTGAACACATTTTTTGTTTCAGAGCAGGGAGCCATGTCAATAAAGTTGGCCTCCAGCGGTAGTTACAATGTACGAGCATCAGAAATGGCTCACATTCCAGAGCGCACCCCAAAAGCTGTGACTTGTGCTGTACATTTTTTGGATGACACGCTGGAGACCTTTGAAGTTGATGTGAGTTTTTTTTTAAATCCCATAGATTATTTATTAATTCATTTTATTTTGATTAGTTTTAGACTAGTGAAAAGCATAAGTTTAACAAAACCAACGTGTATAAACTATTTGAACCATCATCTGCAGCATAGAGAGCTGTGGATGGCAACCTACTTATCCTCCTGTAGAAGTGGGGAGCAATAAAAGGTCTAATTAAAAAATATTACAAAACACTAAGCAATTTGAACAGCATTACTTGTTGGCCAATATATGTATTTAGATTTAGGAAAGCAGACACATTCATGACATTTCGAATTACCATGTTATAATAATAGGGTTCCATCTAAGTGGAATTAGAAAATCTATTATTCATTTTTAATCTTTTATTTGTATCTTAAGTATTAAAATTTGTATTTGAAAAAGAGTATTGAATAATCCACTTGGATTTTTTAAAATACAATTTTTAACTTCAAAATTCTAATTTAATACAGAGTTATAAGATTCCAATTTTTACCAATAACTGTACACCAAACCGTTGCAGTTCTATTTGATTTTTTTTTTCAACTTGCTGTCAGTTAGCATTTTTTTGTGTGGCTCTTCTTCTTGAACAGAGTTCTTATTAAATTGTAAACTGTCGACACTCTATTTCTTGGACCTTAGTTTACTCTACCGCCCAGATGACCTGGGGTGTGCTGTATGGAAACCTAGAGTGTACATTAATCAACTAATGAGGCAGAATAGCACTCGGCAATAGCTTAGGTGTCAGGGGCGCTCTTTTGCAGGAAGTGGATTTGACCCCCTGGTTTGATTTTAGTCACTGCATGAACTGGCCCACTAAGTCCCTAGTGTAGGGGGCGCTTCAAAACAAATTTAGGTGCCTTAGTGCTTGTTTGGTGCTCTTTAATTTTTTTCTTTAAAGTAAAAGTTAGCATCATGGTGCTAGGGAGCACCAACCCATTCACTTGACCTAATTATATTTTACTTGAGTGCCTGTTACAGTTTAGGCCTACACGACACATTTTATACCGGTTCTCCAAAACGTTACCTATCGTTTATTTATTTGGCCCTTTTTTAAAATGCAATAAAAGCAAGCGCTGTAGTGTATTTTTTAGACAACTGGCCTTGTTTTTTAATGTATATAAAGTTGGCGCTATATTTCATTCTTGGAGCTTAGTTGTTGAGATGTGGGTTTATGCAATCTACCGCCCAGTTGTCCCAGTTGTCCCAGTTGTCCCAGTTGTCACAGTTGTCCCAGTTGTCACAGTTGTCCCAGTTGTCCCAGTTGTCCCAGTTGTCACAGTTGTCCCAGTTGTCACAGTTGTCACAGTTGTCCCAGTTGTCACAGTTGTCCCAGTTGTCACAGTTGTCTCAGTTGTCCCAGTTGTCCCAGTTGTCCCAGTTGTCCCAGGGCACATTGTGTGAAATCATTGAAAGTCATTTAATCACCCTTTATAAATTAGTGTCATAGTTTGATAGAATGCTCCTTGGTGACAGCCTGGGTGTCAGGGGTGTCTCTGGACACTGACAAGACCCACTGGCTACACCATTGCAGGATATGACCCCCATAGTGCTTAAATGGTGAGTGTGACCAGAAAACTGCGCACAGAAAAGTGTGCAAGTTCATTTTTTGTTTTCTTAAATAGAGCATTTATAGACATTAGCAAAGAATGAGCACATGCATAGTATCATAGTAAAACACTTTTCCATGATAAAGACAAAATTAAAGTGTATTAGTATAATTAGTTTGCATTTGCCCAGCTTTCTGGGAACGACTCATAGGTGAGCCCGTAGTTGTTCTGGTAACTCTGACTCGTGGTGTTTATCTGTACTCTTCTTCCAGGGCACCACATGATGACCTGTTTGATTTAGTCAATGATGATTAGAGTAGCCCTCCACTTTCATAGTGCATGGCCTCGTAGTTTTTTGGGAAACAAATACAAATTTTAATGAAAATCTATGTGAAAATATGGAAGCTTGAAAAAAATGTAATGTAACCCTAACCCTTAAAGTAAACATAACCATACCCCTAGACTATCCCAAGCTTTGTCCATACAACTCTTACCTATACCTAACTTTACCTATCCCAAGCTTTGTCATACAACTCTTACCTATACCTAACTTTACCTATCCCAAGCTTTGTCCATACAACTCTTACCTATACCTAACTTTACCTATCCCAAGCTTTGTCGTACAACTCTTACCTATACCTAACTTTACCTATCCCAAGCTTTGTCCATACAACTCTTACCTATACCTAACTTTACCTATCCCAAGCTTTGTCATACAACTCTTACCTATACCTAACTTTACCTATCCCAAGCTTTGTCGTACAACTCTTACCTATACCTAACTTTACCTATCCCAAGCTTTGTCCATACAACTCTTACCTATACCTAACTTTACCTATCCCAAGCTTTGTCCATACAACTCTTACCTATACCTAACTTTACCTATCCCAAGCTTTGTCCGTACAACTCTTACCTATACCTAACTTTACCTGTCCCAAGCTTTGTCCATACAACTCTTATCTATACCTAACTTTACCTATCCCAAGCTTTGTCCATACAACTCTTACCTATACCTAACTTTACCCATCCCAAGCTTTGTCCATACAACTCTTACCTATACCTAACTTTACCTATCCCAAGCTTTGTCGTACAACTCTTACCTATACCTAACTTTACCTATCCCAAGCTTTGTCCATACAACTCTTACCTATTCCTAACTTTACCTATCCCAAGCTTTGTCCATACAACTCTTACCTATACCTAACCTTACCTATCCCAAGCTTTGTCCATACAACTCTTACCTATACCTAACCTTACCTATCCCTACTTGTATCTCTTTCTGTATCTGAAGGGGGGAAAATTGATGTGTGTGTGGGGTAGTGTCCTACTGCAGTTGTCTACACAAGGGAAATAGACCAGGGGTCTAACAGCAGGAAATGGCAGGAAATTTGTTGGTATTATGATAGAGCAGTTCGTTTTCTATGGTACCATTGAATCAAGGGTCCTCACTTTGTATGAAATATTAGTTAACTTTTCATTTCATGTTGTTTCTATGAAATTTTATCCTTTGGAACTGACTTAGACAACTGAAAATCTAACAAACATAAAGTATTTATTTAAAAAGTGCCTATTATCTAACGGCTAAGTTTACGTATGTGTTTTCTACTCAAAATTGACAAGCTAAGGAAACTGTTATTAAATTCCTTTCTGGCTATTTTTTAATTCTCATTATAAAAAAGGAAAAAAGTGCTTATCATAAATTATACTTACAGAAGAGAGGAAAAGCTCAACAATTACTGGACAGAGTATTTGAACATTTGGAGCTTGTTGAAAAGGATTACTTTGGTTTGCAATACATGGACCAGTCTCCTGGAGATGATACATTGGTACTTCAAGCAAATTCAAAATTCTACATTCTATTTTCATTTCACTTAGAATAATTAGATTATCTACTACTACACTCATTTATGATAAACAATTGTCTAGTATCTTAATTCTAAAAGTTGTGAGTAAGAATTGGTATTTTACCACATATCTTATAATTTACCACTATGTTAATAAAAAATTACATTTGTGTTTAGTTACTACTACTTTTTAGGTATAAAATAAATTTCTTATAAGTTACTGCTTTGTTAGTCAAAATAAAACTTTAATTTCTTACAGCGTTGGCTTGATCCATTAAAAACTATCAAGAAACAATGCAGAGGTAAGGAAGCAACTATTTTTAGGTACATTTTATTATTATTTTTGTGTTGGGTTAGAATTATACAGTTAGCTGAATGAGGCAAAGGTGCTATGAAAGTATTTTCTAGGAATTTAAAAGTTTGCATCACGCTCTTTCCTCTACTTCTTTGTCCTTACTTGTAATATTGAAGGGAATTTCCTTCAACATGAGTATTGTTTCAATGTTGATTCCAACTTTGTCTGATTTTATTTCTGGATTTGTTTGTTTAGCTATGAACAGTTTACAGCCCATCCGGCCCCAATTTGTTTTCTTTTATGTGTAATTTAATACAAACATGGATATGACTTTTCCAATTTTTAGTGGAAATAAGATTTTTCTGTTTAAGTTGATATTTTCCTCTGTTAATTTCAGTTTCTCTGAATTTGTCCACCAATTTGTTTTTCTTTTTGCCATTATTTCATTTAAGTCTGGCCTACTGCTACATCTGATGTTGCTAGATCAGGGGTGGGCAAAGCTTGCGGGCCACATGCGGCCCACCACACACAGAATTTTTTGTGGCCCGCCAGACATTAAAAAAACTCCGCCTTGAACTTAGATTTGCTTCATGTCCGCAAACAAAAGTTCGTCTAGTATTTTTTCTCCATTTTAGCGGTTATGTGAATGCGCATGCGCTGTCACTGAAAATAGTCACTTTTCCGGTTTGTCAGTTTTCTTTCAGTTTTATCTATGCATCAGTCAAATTTAAAAAATTCCAAATTAAATGAAGCCATGAACCCTCAGAAAAAGCGTAAAATTGGTGATGAATGCCGTGTGTTTAATGAAGAATGGACACACAAATATTTCTTTGGTAATACAGACAAGAAAGCAGTGTGTCTACTGTGTCATGAAATGATGTCTGATGTTACGAAAACCTTTGTAAAGCAGCACTTGACTTAAAGCCTGTGATTGAACCTGTTGTAAGTGTGGTTAACATAATCAGAGCTAAGGCACTCAACCATCGACTATTCAAATCAATGCTTGAGGATATGGAGGTAGATTATGAAGATGTAATTTACCACAACAGTGGGAGGTGGTTGAGCTTGGGCAAAGTGATAAATAGAGTCAACTTTGACAGCGCGTCATTTTAAATGGTGCGACACCCCCCCCCCCCCCCCCCCCACTAAAATCTCTACCACTAAGTGGTCCTCGAGTCAAAACAATTGCCCACCCCTGTGCTAGATAAAGATTAAATCAAGGTCAAGTTTCATTTAGGGATGTGACTTTTCCAAATTTCGGTGAATTTCTTAATTTTTCTGAATTCTCAAATATTAGTTGGAATTTTCCGCTAATACTTTCCATTAATATTTTCACAAAAAAAAAAAACGGAAAAAATGATTCTAAAGTGCTGTAGTTCTTTATAGGAAAAGTACATCTCCTGAGACTTGTTCCTCACCATTTGTCTCCCATGATAGTTAATCATGCTAGATTCTCTATAGCCTAATTTAGCTATCATGCTAGATTCTCTATAGCCTAATTTAGCTAACATGCTAGATTCTCTATAGCCTAATTTAGCTATCATGCTAGATTATCTATAGCCTAATTTAGCTATCATGCTAGATTCTCTATAGCCTAATTTAGCTAACATGCTAGATTCTCTATAGCCTAATTTAGCTATCATGCTAGATTATCTATAGCCTAATTTAGCTATCATGCTAGATTCTCTATAGCCTAATTCAGCTACCAGTATTTTAATTCAGTCTCTGTTTTTAAAGCTACCACTTCTTTGGTTTCTCTCTGCCTTCATCTTTATTTCTCAACCTGAAATAATTTTGAAATCATTACAAAAGGTGACTATGAGAACTAGACAACCCTAGGGTAGCAATGGTGACTCATGTGAAATCACCATGACCTAGAATAGTTGATACTACTTGTTTGGGAAAAATAAAAGTGATCGCAATCACAGGCTTACTGATTTGAAAACTAATGTGAACTGACTGTGGCCAATCACAGGCTTACTGATTTGAAAACTAATGTGAACTGACTGTGGCCAATCACAGGCTTACTGATTTGAAAACTAATGTGAACTCACTGTGGCCTCTACCCATCAACCATGTCTTGTGGTGAAAAATGCGACACCAAATATTTTTAATTGCATTCTAAGGATATTCTAGAAGCACAAGTAACGCTGTGGCTAGGCTGCTCTCAAAGTGGATATTTTTGGCACAAAAGTTTTTACAAGTATTAATTGCAATACACTTCTAAAAATAATTAGCAAACCCTTTCTAATTTCAGCTAATCTAGTCAATTGCATTATCACATGAATTTAAAAATTTCAAGTAGCAATTTAATGTTGAAGACTTAAATTCATTTCAAATATTGTTACCATGTCCATCCCTTAGATTATAAGACATAATTAAAATTTGAAAACAAGAGTGATCATTACTGTTTAAATATAATTTATTTTCTATTTTGTTACTTTGTAAAATTTAAATTTGAAAAAATATTGTTTATTAGGGATACTTTATAGTAACATGAACATTACCTAAAAAAACATATTAGCCATCCATTTATGACATCCACAATAATTTGGAATTTTAGACCCCCCACACGCCCCCTTTAACAATCATAATAATTGTAAGTATTAGCCTCCTAGGTTTCATGACCTCTATCTCTGTTTGCTTTATTTCTTGTTTTATACCAAAAAAATTACTAAATGTATAAGACATAGTAAGTGTTGGTGCAAAGTCTGGAAAATGCCTTGAAAAGTAAGTTTTTACTTTATAAGTCTAGAAAACCATTAGTTTTTGTGCTGGCTTTTAAATAAAACTTTTCCATGTTGTCCGTTAGTCTACAGCTTGTAGCTGTAAACTTGTATATTATCAAGTGAATGTGCTAAGACTATCTAAAATAGTTTTTTATTCAAAGAGTGATCGTGCATGGTAGGTCCCACCTGTTTATAGTGGTAGGTCCCACCTGTTTATAGTGGTAGGTCCCACCTGTTTATAGTGGTAGGTCCCACCTGTTTATAGTGGTAGGTCCCACCTGTTTATAGTGGTAGGTCCCACCTGTTTATAGTGGTAGGTCCCACCTGTTTATAGTGGTAGGTCCCACCTGTTTATAGTCATAGGCTTGGGGTCCTGAATGTACCAAATGTCAGTTCAATATAGATTAGTACATGGTTTGGGGTCCTGAATGTACCAAATGTCAGTTCCAATCTAGATTAGTACATGGTTTGGGTTCCTGAATGTACCAAATGTCAGTTCCAATCTAGATTAGTACATGGTTTGGGGTCCTGAATGTACCAAATGTCAGTTCCATATAGATTAGTACATGGTTTGGAGTCCTGAATGTACCAAATGTCAGTTCCATATAGATTAGTACATGGTTTGGGGTCCTGAATGTACCAAATGTCAGTTCCATATAGATTAGTACATGGTTTGGGGTCCTGAATGTACCAAATGTCAGTTCCAATCTAGATTAGTACATGGTTTGGAGTCCTGAATGTACCAAATGTCAGTTCCAATCTAGATTAGTACATGGTTTGGGGTCCTGAATGTACCAAATGTCAGTTCCAATCTAGATTAGTACATGGTTTGGGGTCCTGATGCCACCATCCAAGGGAGTGACAGGAAACTGCTTGACTGAGGAAATCTCTGTCTGGTTAATGGAACAGTCTATTCAAGTTCTGTGCACTGGGTGGCACAGTCTAGAAGGATTGACACCAGATTGCCAACAAATTTTTTATCTTATATAATTTTTTTGAAGGGTTTTATGTGTTTGTTGGGGGTGATTTTAATATAGAATAATGGGTTCCTCAGACCTATTGAGATGACTTTATGTTTGTTATTGCAGGTCCAGTATATGAATTCTATTTTCGAGTTAAATTCTATGTATCTGACCCAAGCAAATTAGCAGAGGAATATACAAGGTAATATAGTTCAAATAATTTATAGTAGCTATCCACTGCAGGCATCTGTAGTAAAATTCCCACGATATAGCCTTTTTCTCTAAGTTGTATAATGCCATTTTTAAAGTTGGTGTGTGTGTTTGTGGCTCCACAATTCATAAAATATTAATTTAACCCACTTCCCATTGTCCAATTGAAATTGGGCACAGAGGTAGATCTAAAAATGCAAGAAAATTTTTAATCTCATTTGATAGACAATTAGGCATCAAAATGTAATATAAAAATTATTATACTCAATAATAAAATAAGGGTGGATAATAAAATTTAAAAGAACCACTACGTTTGCTTGATGGGAACCTTTTTCATGGTAGTCAAATTCAATGACTTAAACGCAGAAAATAATTATCACCTTATTTACAATAGATACATTTTTTAAAGGGAAAAAAGGTTTTATTATATTCACAAAATGCAAAAAAAATCAAATGAACAAAGTGTACCAAAAACAAATGTTTGTTTGGTGTACCTTTCTAAAGCTATATGCTGGTATGACTAAAAATAAAAGTTTCTAGAGAAGGAAGCTTTGTTCCCACTAAAATACTAAAATGTATGTCAACATGACATCAAGGCTCTAAAAATGGACATTGTGTCCCCACAAAGATAAAAAAAAAATGGATGTCAACATGACCTCAAGGCTCTAAAAATTGACATGGTGTCTTGGGAGAAAACTGCAGAGGAGAAAAACAAGTGTAGGAACACCTAACACAGAGGAGAAAAACAAGTGTAGGAACACCTAACACAGAGGAGAAAAACAAGTGTAGGAACACCCTAACACCTAACCCAGAGGAGAAAAACAAGTAGGAACACCCTAACACCTAACACAGAGGAGAAAAACAAGTGTAGGAACACCCTAACACACAGGAGAAAAACAAGTGTAGGAACACCCTAACACAGAGGAGAAAAACAAGTGTAGGAACACCCTAACACAGAGGAGAAAAACAAGTGTAGGAACACCCTAACACCTAACACAGAGGAGAAAAACAAGTGTAGGAACACCTAACACAGAGGAGAAAAACAAGTGTAGGAACACCCTAACACCTAACACAGAGGAGAAAAACAAGTGTAGGAACACCTAACACAGAGGAGAAAAACAAGTGTAGGAACACCCTAACACCTAACACAGAGGAGAAAAACAAGTGTAGGAACACCTAACACAGAGGAGAAAAACAAGTAGGAACACCCTAACACCTAACACAGAGGAGAAAAACAAGTGTAGGAACACCTAACACAGAGGAGAAAAACAAGTGTAGGAACACCTAACACAGAGGAGAAAAACAAGTAGGAACACCCTAACACCTAACACAGAGGAGAAAAACAAGTGTAGGAACACCTAACACAGAGGAGAAAAACAAGTAGGAACACCCTAACACCTAACACAGAGGAGAAAAACAAGTGTAGGAACACCTAACACAGAGGAGAAAAACAAGTAGGAACACCCTAACACCTAACACAGAGGAGAAAAACAAGTGTAGGAACACCTAACACAGAGGAGAAAAACAAGTAGGAACACCCTAACACCTAACCCAGAGGAGAAAAACAAGTAGGAACACCCTAACACCTAACACAGAGGAGAAAAACAAGTGTAGGAACACCTAACACAGAGGAGAAAAACAAGTGTAGGAACACCCTAACACCTAACCCAGAGGAGAAAAACAAGTGTAGGAACACCCTAACACCTAACACAGAGGAGAAAAACAAGTGTAGGAACACCCTAACACCTAACCCAGAGGAGAAAAACAAGTAGGAACACCCTAACACCTAACCCAGAGGAGAAAAACAAGTGTAGGAACACCCTAACACAGAGGAGAAAAACAAGTGTAGGAACACCCTAACACCTAACCCAGAGGAGAAAAACAAGTGTAGGAACACCCTAACACCTAACCCAGAGGAGAAAAACAAGTGTAGGAACACCTAACACAGAGGAGAAAAACAAGTGTAGGAACACCTAACACAGAGGAGAAAAACAAGTGTAGGAACACCTAACACAGAGGAGAAAAACAAGTGTAGGAACACCCTAACACCTAACCCAGAGGAGAAAAACAAGTAGGAACACCCTAACACCTAACCCAGAGGAGAAAAACAAGTGTAGGAACACCCTAACACAGAGGAGAAAAACAAGTGTAGGAACACCCTAACACCTAACCCAGAGGAGAAAAACAAGTGTAGGAACACCCTAACACCTAACCCAGAGGAGAAAAACAAGTGTAGGAACACCTTAACACCTAACACAGAGGAGAAAAACAAGTGTAGTAACACCCTAACACCTAACACAGAGGAGAAAAACAAGTAGGAACACCCTAACACCTAACCCAGAGGAGAAAAACAAGTAGGAACACCCTAACACCTAACACAGAGGAGAAAAACAAGTAGGAACACCCTAACACCTAACACAGAGGAGAAAAACAAGTAGGAACACCCTAACACCTAACACAGAGGAGAAAAACAAGTGTAGGAACACCCTAACACCCTAACACAGAGAAGAAAAACAAGTAGGAACACCCTAACACCTAACATACAGGAGAAAAACAAGTGTAGGAACACCCTAACACAGAGGAGAAAAACAAGTAGGAACACCCTAACACCTAACACAGAGGAGAAAAACAAGTAGGAACACCCTAACACCTAACACAGAGGAGAAAAACAAGTGTAGGAACACCCTAACACCTAACACAGAGGAGAAAAACAAGTGTAGGAACACCTAACACAGAGGAGAAAAACAAGTGTAGGAACACCTAACACAGAGGAGAAAAACAAGTGTAGGAACACCCTAACACCTAACCCAGAGGAGAAAAACAAGTGTAGGAACACCCTAACACCTAACACAGAGGAGAAAAACAAGTGTAGGAACACCCTAACACCTAACCCAGAGGAGAAAAACAAGTAGGAACACCCTAACACCTAACCCAGAGGAGAAAAACAAGTGTAGGAACACCCTAACACAGAGGAGAAAAACAAGTGTAGGAACACCCTAACACCTAACCCAGAGGAGAAAAACAAGTGTAGGAACACCCTAACACCTAACCCAGAGGAGAAAAACAAGTGTAGGAACACCTTAACACCTAACACAGAGGAGAAAAACAAGTAGGAACACCCTAACACCTAACACAGAGGAGAAAAACAAGTGTAGGAACACCCTAACACCCTAACACAGAGAAGAAAAACAAGTAGGAACACCCTAACACCTAACACAGAGGAGAAAAACAAGTAGGAACACCCTAACACCTAACACAGAGGAGAAAAACAAGTGTAGGTACACCTTAACACCTAACCCAGAGGAGAAAAACAAGTGTAGGAACACCTTAACACCTAACACAGAGGAGAAAAACAAGTGTAGTAACACCCTAACACCTAACCCAGAGGAGAAAAACAAGTAGGAACACCCTAACACCTAACACAGAGGAGAAAAACAAGTGTAGGAACACCCTAACACCTAACACACAGGAGAAAAACAAGTAGGAACACCCTAACACCTAACACAGAGGAGAAAAACAAGTGTAGGAACACCCTAACACCTAACACAGGAGAAAAACAAGTGTAGGAACACCCTAACACCTAACACAGAGGAGAAAAACAAGTGTAGGAACACCCTAACACCTAACACAGAGGAGAAAAACAAGTGTAGGAACACCCTAACACCTAACACAGAGGAGAAAAACAAGTGTAGAAACACCCTAACACCTAACACAGAGGAGAAAAACAAGTGTAGGAACACCCTAACACAGAGGAGAAAAACAAGTAGGAACACCCTAACACCTAACACACAGGAGAAAAACAAGTGTAGGAACACCCTAACACCTAACACACAGGAGAAAAACAAATGTAGGAACACCCTAACACCTAACACAGAGGAGAAAAACAAGTGTAGGAACACCAAACACAGAGGAGAAAAACAAGTAGGAACACCCTAACACCCTAACACAGAGGAGAAAAACAAGTAGGAACACCCTAACACCTAACACACAGGAGAAAAACAAGTAGGAACACCCTAACACCTAACACAGAGGAGAAAAACAAGTAGGAACACCCTAACACCTAACACAGAGGAGAAAAACAAGTGTAGGAACACCCTAACACCTAACACAGAGGAGAAAAACAAGTGTAGGAACACCCTAACACCTAACCCAGAGGAGAAAAACAAGTGTAGGAACACCCTAACACAGAGGAGAAAAACAAGTAGGAACACCCTAACACCTAACACAGAGGAGAAAAACAAGTAGGAACACCCTAACACCTAACACAGAGGAGAAAAACAAGTAGGAACACCCTAACACCTAACACAGAGGAGAAAAACAAGTGTAGGAACACCCTAACACCTAACACAGAGGAGAAAAACAAGTAGGAACACCCTAACACCTAACACAGAGGAGAAAAACAAGTGTAGGAACACCCTAACACCCTAACACAGAGAAGAAAAACAAGTAGGAACACCCTAACACAGAGGAGAAAAACAAGTGTAGAAACACCCTAACACCTAACACACAGGAGAAAAACAAGTAGGAACACCCTAACACCTAACACAGAGGAGAAAAACAAGTGTAGGAACACCTTAACACCTAACACAGAGGAGAAAAACAAGTAGGAACACCCTAACACAGAGGAGAAAAACAAGTGTAGTAACACCCTAACACAGAGGAGAAAAACAAGTAGGAACACCCTAACACCTAACACAGAGGAGAAAAACAAGTAGGAACACCCTAACACCTAACACAGAGGAGAAAAACAAGTAGGAACACCCTAACACCTAACACAGAGGAGAAAAACAAGTGTAGGAACACCCTAACACCTAACACAGGAGAAAAGCAAGTAGGAACACCCTAACACCTAACACACAGGAGAAAAACAAGTGTAAGAACACCCTAACACAGAGGAGAAAAACAAGTAGGAACACCCTAACACCTAACACAGAGGAGAAAAACAAGTAGGAACACCCTAACACCTAACACAGAGGAGAAAAACAAGTGTAG